AGCAAAAGCGGGGAAGCCGGGTGGAGCGGTGGCACGTGCCCGGCTCGGTCTCCGTTTGCTGCGGTGGGGTGCGGCGAGACGCAGTCCCAGCCGAGCAGCGGCCACCCCGGCGGAGGAGCGATGCCTCCTTCCCCTCCCGGCAGGGCTTTAGGGTGGTTTGCACCGCTGCTCACAGGAAGCCGCGTGCAGGCGGCGCCGGTGACGTTGCCGGCATCAGCGTGGTGAGATGGCCCAGCAGCTCATCCGGTAGGGCGATGGCGGTGCCGCTGGGCGGCTGCACCGGGACCTGGGCTGGGGGCATGGCAGGGCGTGCGAGGTCCCATGTCCCTCCCCTGGCAGGATCATGCGCCCGGATGATGCCAACATCGCGGGGAACGTCCATGGGGGAACCATCCTGAAGATGATCGAGGAGGCGGGAGCCATCATCAGCACCCGCCACTGCAACTCCCAGGCTGGGGTGAGTAGGTGTCGGAGCGCCTGCCGGGCTCTGGCTTGATGACTCTCCGACCCCCCACTGCGCCTCGGGGGTCTGCTGGAAGCAGGGGGTCCCCCGGGACCAGCAGGCATCCCTGGGCATCTCCCCGCTCATCCCCCCACGCCGGAAGCGCTTGCTCAGGCGTGCAAACCACTGGTGGCTCCGGCAGCCAGAAGCATCCCACTGTAATTGTGTTTTATGAGCAGAAACATTATTACGCTGCTGTTAATGTTTGAACTCCCGCAAAGGGCGAGTCAGAGGCAGCCCTGGCATCGGTTATGGGTGGGGAAGGAAGCGCAGCCACCGGCTGATAAGGTGGAAGTGCTGGAGCCGTGTGCGGCATGGGCCGGCCCCAGGGAGCTGCCGACCGCCCTCCTGCACGGCGTGGCTGCGGCCGCTACCCTCGCTGTTTCGCCCTCGCCATCCCCAGGAGCCCTGCGTGGCTGCGCTGGCGCGGGTGGAGCGGACGGACTTCCTCTCCCCGATGTGCATCGGCGAGGTGGCCAACGTCAGCGCTGAGATCACCTACACCTCCCGGCACTCCGTGGAGGTCCAGGTCAACGTCATGTCCGAAAACATTTTAACAGGTGGGTGGCTCTGGTGGGTCTGTCCCAAAACCCCAGGAATAACCGTAATAAGCCGAGAGCTCGTGGTGGTGACCTCGTCCTCTGCCCACCGTCACCGGCAGCATCGGGCAGAGGGAAGATCTTGCCTTTTTATTGAGTGCTGGGAGCGGCGGGGAGGGTCGGCACTGGGAAGGGAAGCCAAGCAGGCTCCCTGGGGATTACAGGTCCGTTGATTGTTTTTAGTGAAGAACAGAAAAATCTGCTGTTAGCTCCACCTGCCTAATTTGCTGCCTGTGGCTGCCTTTGGCCTGAAAAAGGCCCTTTTCCTGCTGTTGCTGTGGCAACTGGCTCCGCTTGCCGGGACGCCTTCGCAAAAGCACACTGTCACATCTGCTCCGAGCCAAAGGCCAGCAGGAGCCGGCAGCACCGCCAGCACGTGTCCAACCCCAGACTGCAGCAGTGCCAGCGGCAGGCATAGCACTGCTGGCATTGGCACAATCACCTTCTGCCCCCCTCTTCTCCAGGGGCGAAGAAGGTGACGAACAAGGCGACGCTGTGGTACGTGCCGCTGTCCCTGAAGAACGTGAATAAGGTCCTTGAGGTTCCCCCCATCCAGGTAGGACGGCTCACTTTGCTCCCAGAAAACCGGAGCTCGCCCTCTCCAGGGGAACGGCGCTAACCTGGCCCTGTTGGCACCCCCGGCTGTGCCGGTGGCTTTGCTGACCTGGTTCTTACCGGCCCTTCCTTCCAGTACGCGCGAAAGGAGCAGGAGGATGAGGGGAAGAAGCGTTATGAGGAGCAAAAGCTGGATCGGCTGGAAACTAAGCAGAGAAATGGTGACATGATCTTCCCCGTCATCAACCCAGGTAACGTGGGTGGAGCGTGGCCTGTGGAAATGACCTGGTGG